TTTTACAGAAGTTGTGATTTATAAAATTTATAATTTGTAATTGATAAATGAATTGTAACCCATGAACATTTTGATTTTATGGCCGATGAATAAATTGTGGTCTATAAAAATTTTTGATTTGTGATCGAGAAATAAATTTTTACTTATAAAATTTTTGCTTTGACACTGAGAAAATAATTTGTGACATACAAAATTTTTAAATTATGATCGAGAAAAAATTATAATCAATTAATTTGAGAATTTGTGACCAAATTATACGGAATTATGATCTTAATATATTTAATGAAGAATTTCGTAGATAAAATATAATAATGTCCAATTTTTAAAATTATAAATTTTGTTTCTTAGTTTTGAAATAAATCTCAGTTAAACTCTTAAATATAAAATTTTCCCTTTGACATATTTGGTAATCGAACTATCATATTCTTAGCGTGAGCATCTTAATAAAGTTGGTGTCTATGAGTCGTACAAGCACATAGTCACTGCCACTCGTATGAATACTGAAAAAATGTAAAATATATATCTCAGACAGTAGAAATTCCATTATTTTTATTATTCAAATCCAGAGATCACATTCCATCATAAGATAGCAGCCAACTTTAGGACCCACCTAATACACCAAGCTGTTGAGAACGAACACTTCATAATGATAAACTTCAACGAATGCCAGCCTAAAATGACCCCAAATATTGCATCATTTCTACTGTTCAATCCTCAGTCTTCTCAACTGTAACTTCTGTGGGAGCCGCCTCCACCACATGAGGGGTTTCTTCTTCAGCCTCTTTCTTCACCTCTTCAACTTCTTCTTTAGTCTCCTCAACTGCAGCCTCTTTCTTCACATCTTCAACTTCTTCTTTCTTTTCCACTTTCACTGCAGCAGGCTCTTCCGGTGCAACCACGGCAGCCGCCTCAACGGACTCTTTTACTGAAATTACTGTCTCTTTCTGAGCTTCAACAGCTTTCTCAGCTTCTGGATCAGGCTCAACTGCGTTTTCTTCTGGTGCAGCATCTTTAGCCCCTTCTTTTACTTCCTCCGTGACTGTCACCGGTGCATTTGCCTCTTCTTTTGGAGCCTCTGGGGTGGTGATTACCTCCTTGGTTTTAACATTTTCTACTATTGCTGCAGTAACTGCTTCAACCTATAGGGATAAACTTTCATTTTTAATAAGATCAAATAATCGAAAGAAAAAGGAAAGATCATTGCATGGAAGTTAAATATCTATTGTAACACTGGAGTTGATATCGAATTTAACTAATAAAATCGTTGCATCAAAAGCAGAAAATCCGAGAATTAATTAGAGTGAAGAGAAGTATATTGATACCTCAACTGCGGCCATCTTTCAAGATTTGAAGATCACAGGAAAAGATAATGAGAGATGATTAATTTGCAAAGAGAAAGTATTGCTTGTGAGCGTGATGATGAGAAATGATCAATATGAGAGCTATTTATAGAGAGGTAAAATCATTTACTAAATAATGGGAAGGAGGAATGAGAATAATGTTTGGAGCACTAAAAGAATATTAGCAAATCGACCTCTCACACTATTTGATATTGTTCATTAGTACACTACTGTCTAATTCTTCAACATAACATGATACATGTATTGAACGGTAATACGATATCTCATCTCTCTCCGTACATTAGTGATACAGAATACTCGATAAAGTTGAACTACAATTCAGTAATATTTATTTTTCTGAACATGATCCATGTAAAGGGTTAATTTCACAAACGGTCACTAAAGTTTAAAACTTTCAGTAACTGTCACTCAAGTATTGGGACGCTTTCAAAAATGGTCACTGAAGTTTAAAAATTTTTGAGCTACTTTTGCTGCAATTTTTCGACCACTTCCAACCACCGATACCAACGGTTTTTATACAGTTGGAAAGCCTATAATGTCCTCTTCAATTACAACAAAAAATCTCCCCCAAACTCCAAATGATTCGGCCGGAATGAACCCTCAAAGTTGGCTATCCGAAAAGGCAAAAATCTGTCCAAATTTTTAGATTTTTGGTAGACTTTTGAGGTGATTTTTTGACAACTTTCAACCACCAAAATAGCCAAATTTTGATACCGCTGGAAAGCCCATAATGTTCTCTTTAATTAACATCCAAAATCTCCCCAAAATTTCAAAGGATTCGGCCGGAATAAACTTATAAATTTGGCATCCCAGATTTTCACCTTTTTGGGATGCTGACTTTGTGGGTTTATTCCGGCCGAATCCTTTGGAGTTTGGGAGAGATTTTGGATGGTAATTGAAGAGGACATTGTGGGCTTTCCAACGTATCAAAATCTAGCGGTCTTGGTGGTCGAAAGTCGCTGGAAATTTACCGTAAAAGTCGCCCAAAAATCTGAAAATCTGGGCAGATTTTCAGATTTTTTGGGGCGACTTTTGCGGTGATTTTTCGGTCGAATTTCTTGGTGTTATGGAGAGATTTTGAGTGGTAATTGAAGAGGACGTTGTGGGCTTTCAAACGGTATCAAAATTCGATGGTATCGGTAGTTGGAAGTAACCGAAAAATTGCCGCAAATGTAACCAAAAAAATTAAAAAGTGTTTTTCAACTTTAGTGAACGTTTCAGAAACTTTTAAATTTCAGTGACTGTTTTTGAAAGCGTCCCAATACTTAAGTGACCGTTACTGAAAGTTTTAAACTTCAGTGACCATTTTATAATTTTTCTATAAATTTAGTGACCGTTTGTGAAATTAACCCTCCATGTAAATGATACTATCATGTCTAGTTGTAAATGTTTTTATTTTCTCTATTAGATTTCTCGAATAAGGCTTTATGAATGTGAAATGACACATGGGGGAGGCATTTCACATTCACATGGCTATTTTATCTTTTTTTGAATGGCTTATTCTGTGTTTTGTGCAGTAGGGTTTGTAGGTGACTGATATCATCATGCTTTCATGTTAGTTTTATATGGCCCGTTTGCCATAACTTTTAAAAGTAAAAAATTTATTTTGTAGTTAAACATTTACTTTTAAATATATTTTGATAATTTCTTGAAAGCGTTTTGTCTTATTAGAAGAATTAGAATAACTTTCTTAAAAAACTATTTTACAAGAGGCAAAATCCTTGTACCATTATATTTAATTTTCCGATATTTCTATACAGACTAAATTATATAGATGTGTTCTTTTCAAATATCAATGATGTTATGCACATATTTACATCACACGGTGACACAACTTATAAACCTAATATGGCTAAACAAGTCGATGGAAAAATTAAACTTCATCATATCCAAACATGACAGCAAGCTTGAGCTAAGTCTAAAATTATAGGTCATCATCAATAACTATTATACTAATGCACTAATAGTGCTAGTAATCAATTATTATTGTCGTTTAGAGAATCGAGCTTTGATCCTAAGAAGTCATCTAAGAATGTTAAAACTCTTTCTCACTTTCATCATGACAAATTGGCGTATCTCCACCATCTTTTCACTCACGAAGGTCTCTAATTGCAAAACCTTCATACGAAGTATTCTTCAATGAATGATATTGTGATAAAACTTTAACTAAGGATCACTAATCAGGTCAAAATCAGAATGTTTTAACCCTTTGAAAAAGAACCACTCGACGTGAATAAAGCAGCGTATAACAAAACAAAACAAAACAAAACAAAACAAAAAATTCAAATCAAGGCCGGTGATATGCGTGGGATCCCTCTAGATTGCACCAATGTGGGTCCCCAGTTGGATGCTTTTCTCTTGTACACACGTGTCGTGGGGACCCACATTTGTATATACCACGCTGGATCACAGTCATGAGTACAGAATCTCTGATCATCTCCCATGCTGTGATGTGTTATCACCGATCTCAAAATAATTGTACTTAAATAATATTAGTTTAGAAAAAAGAGCAATTGCTTTTGCATGTTTTTAAAAATTTCAACATTTTGTTGGGAGATCCAAAGGTGATATTGGTTTCATAGATCTCTAGGAACGTTAACTAGGGAGTGTAAAATTAACCAGACGTACGTCTACAAATGTAGGATATTGTATATATATATATATATAATTTGCTACTTTATAATTAATTGAGAAAGTTGAACACTCTTATTTCAATTTCAATTTTTGTTTCTTGAAACTGAAACCAAAATGTTTACCAATGATACGACCACTAATAAAACTAGTGATGGAGTTGGGATTTTTAACTTGTAGTGGCACTATGGCAGTCAGCTGAGCTATAGTGTTGATGACACTATGATAGTCTGCCATGCCTACTGTAGTCGGAGACATAGTGACACCTAGTAAATGGTAAAAATAACTACTTATTTTATTAAAAAAAATAAAAGTAATCAAATTTTGGTTAACCATGCATGTAAATAGAATGGAATATTGAAGGGAAAAAAAGTTAATAACATTGAAAAGATTGTGAAGGTCGATGGAGAACATAGTCAGCCCATTCACATACATACGGAAAAATAAAAGTCGTGTTGCTAATTTGGTCGATATTGAAACTATTTTGGTAAATCAGTAGAGTATCATTTTACTTGCTCATATTGCAGAAACTCCAAAAATATAAATTCCAATTTAAATTATATCGATTTATATATCATATATACTATTGGTATCACTGATTCACTATACATGACTACATGTAATTCTTGCGATTTGACAAACAACCAAGCTTACTTTAAGTCCATCAAATAATAGAAATGTAATTATGTATTATCGTATGCATATATGATATGACCCAAGAGGAGTAAATATTGATCCATGATGATCGCTGAAGTTTGATTGACAGTTGGGCGGTAAGAATGGATCCCACCAAGAATGTGTGATGTCAATCGTGGCAAGACCAAGTAGAGGCATGACACGTGGAATGTCAAAATCGGGCTTTCAATAAATCTGTACACCCAAATTTATTGTTTACAAAACATATACAGAATACTCAAATGAGGGGTGGATGTGATGAATATTTTTCCAATTTTTTATTCACATGGGATCCAACCCATGCGAGTGTTCGGTAGGGGTGTACAACAAGAAGGTTCTTTTCGCTTTTGCATTTGGAACTAACACTACTGATATTCCAAGTAGTCCCAGTCCTCGTGTGGCCCATTTAATTCAATTTAGATGCGTAGAATTTTAACTTCCCCATGAATGGTGAAATGGAACAAATTCCCCCTCAGATTCCACAGCTGATGAGTTTACTGCTTCTACTCGTTTCTCGAATTTGGGTAAGCCCCATTCGTGCTGAACTATGTCTAGATCGTCTTTCTCTGCACCCAAACTCTGGTAAGGCCAAGAAAGAAAAAGAAAACGCAATCACCAAGATATAAACATTATGAGTACTTCATTTTACACGAGGTTGTGTACGGTGTGAATGTCTTTACTAGTATTCATCTTCAGCTGTGATTAGCAAATTCCTCAAACAAATGAACACACAGTTGGCTACCTTGTAATACATTCATCAAAAGTGTCATAGTCATTTCCCTAGTAAAATGATATCAAACCTATACAATAAGATGAAGCTAGCCCCATGTATTGGGTGTAATTTTAGCATTACACAGTTGATATTTGTCATGTTAGCAGAAATCCAAAATAACTCCCATCACTAGGAACATTTTAATCAATTGTTTTCAAGAACTTGCAAAAGGTTCAGTCTAACAACTCAAATTTGTTGTAAGAGGGTCCTAGAATGAACACTAGTACCTCTCCATTCACAAAGCAATAGCATTGCCACTATTCTTAACATTAAGCTCAAATCCGTTTGAAAATAAATCAATACATACAGGTTTTGTTATTAAATAAGATATGCAGTAGACCAATATAAACACCAAATCTTATGAGGAAATAGAGAAGTTCAATTCAAATAAGATCTCGAACAAAAAAAGAATTGTTGTGATGCATACAAAAATGTTCACTGTTCTTATTAGTTTATCCACACAAAGTAGTTGAGAGCATAATATATTGTTGAAGGCAAGATTGAACTGATATAAACGTGTCTCTAATAGTTTAACTTTTTAGATCAAGTGGTTCAACAAGTATAGAATAAATTCCACATTGAATAAAGATAAGGTTGATCCAATAAGATGGAACCCTAAGTTTTACCAGGATATCATAACAAGCAAAACATCATGAATTCAAATCTCGTTGCTACTCATTTATAAACTGTCACGTGTTTTGGTTTGATGGAAAAAAATGAATCCCGCCTTCTTATAAGGGGGTGTTTTGAAGACAATATTTAAATGAACATGTGACTCTCGATAAAAGTTTAAGCTTTTAGATTAAGTAGTACAATATATATGTAGTATGAAATCAAAATTTTATTAACCATTTGGCAAAATTTATACATCATTTATAAATGGTCAAACTACACTTTCAACCACATTCAAATGAATCCATAAGTACTATCTACTTCTTTACTACTTATTTATGTGTATTAATAAATTAAACCTGTTTATATATTATTCCAAAACACAGGCT